GAAAATAAATAGAGAAGTGGGTATCAAATGAAAGAGGAGGGAGAGATAAAGAAGAGAAGGAGGACGAGAGGGGCTGATTCCGGTGATCAGAAGGATCACCGGAGAGGGAAAGGGAATGGAAGATAGGTTAGGTCATATTCTTGGGGAATGTGCCTGGGAGCATTTTTGAAATTCAAACTCTGATATATTTCTTTATTTCTTCTAATCCCCCATAATGTTCTTGACAACCCTCCGTTTCTCACTACTATTCAAACTCCTCAGTTCCATGAGACAAGTTTCAATTGCATTAAGAAATATTTCGGAAGTTTCTCCCCGTATCTCTACACCCCCCACTTTGGAACTTCACAGCAAAAGCTACTAAACTTTTCAATTCGTTAGAACCTTTGAACCTTGTCTTCTTGCATACTGCTACAACTTTTTGGTGTATGGCCCTGTCAACCTGTAGTAACAGTTGCATGGCTTCCTCTTCATGACCTTGGAAATCAGCCCCCAACAATTTTCCCGGTTTGATCAAATTCTGTTTCACCCAAGCAGAAACTTCTCTCTTTTTTTCTGTGATTAAAAGCTGCTGTTCCGTACATAGTAGCTCTGCTTTTAGAGGTTGATATTCTTTGGTCTTCAATATTGCATGCCTCTTTTCCTCCCTCCCAATCATCAGTTCCCCAATTGGAACTTGCGCCTCTGATTCTCCCATATTTAGCATAGCCACGTCACCCAAAATACCGCTTGAATCAGCTGTTATCTCCTTCTTAGTATTCTTTTCTGCTCCTTGCATTGTCTTTGGGCAGAACTGTGTTTCTTTATCTTGAAAAATCCAATTTTCTACTGAATTGGGCTGGGTGGAATTGGATATGCTATTAAAAATAAATGAATCTGCGATTTATTATGTTTAGGTGATCATACCTTCTTCTTGTTACAGTTCCTTGCATATATTGCTCCTCATTGCTTTGCTGTTAGTTGTCATGTTTTGCCAACATACATTTTCTCGTTGAATTATTGCTTTGATTTTGCTTGAGCTAAGGGTCTTCGAAAAAATCTCTCTACGTCGGATAAGTAGTGGTAAGGCCTGCATAAAATCACTCTTTTGCTTTGTCTTTTTTAGAAGTTAGTTGGCAATTTACTTTGGTATCTCTTACTTTATAGAGTTGTTTCTGTGATTTGGAAAAAGGTTAGGAAATATCAAAGATTAAAAGAGAAATTACATGTTATTCAAAGAGAATGGTAAAAGAAAATGAAAATAATGTCGACCCATTGGTGATGTTGGTTGCATCAGTAAACAAGGCAAGGAAATATTTTTTTCATGTATGGTTTAGGGATTTCAGAAAAGACTGTTTTGTTTCACAATTTATGCTCAATGATTTCTTTTTTACTATGAAAAACTTTACATTTTTCATTAAAACACTATTTTTTTTTAAAAAAACAAATTAATATATAGGCGAAATGGTAGGAGTTTGTATCTGGACCCTTCTAGTTGACCATGTGCTAACAAAATCATAAACTCAGTGAAACTTAGCATTTTAAACCCCCTTGGGTTTGTGTAAACTTCAAACGCTCAACAAAAATGACACTTCGTTATCCACGTCAGATTTTAAATGACACATCATCCACATTAGATTTTAAATGACATATCACTTATTTTTTATTCTTTTTAGAATACAATTTTTTCTTCTTTTACATTCCATTCCTCCCTCATTCACCCTTCACCACCACAACCTTCCATCTTCACCATTATCACCACTTCCCTAAAACATAAAAACACCTTTCTTTTGTATATTTTCATCATTCATAACTTCCGGCCGTATTTTCTTTACCACTTTTTCCACATTAATGCCAACAAATCAGCACTAAAATACCTTAATAAATCATAATTTTTGTACACAATTTGCACAACATTCTCCATCTGATTTCTCAAAGGCATATAACAGTTACTTTTTGGCTACCAAAATGATCAGATCTGTCACCTCACAAACTATACCACAATTTCAATTGCAATTTGGGGAGAAAAGAAAGTAAAAAAAACAAAAGAGAAGAAGAAACTGGAGAGGGTGGGGAAGGGGAGAAAGTGAGAAATGTGAGTTTGGGTTAGTGCGGAAGAATGGTGTGGGTGATGGTAGAAAGAAAAAAAAAATAGGGAGGGGAGGGGTGGGGTGGGGAAAAGAGGAAATAACTGAATTAATTTTCCATATATTTTTTTTTTTGGTCTTTTGATTCTATTTTTCTTTCAATTATTTTTGGTCTAAAATTTTACATTACTCTCTTTTTGTGCATGAAATCATGCATTTGCTCCAATTAAATAATTAAGTTGCCACATAAGCTTGGTCAATGGTCAGAGGGGTTTAATAGGTTGAGTTTCATTGAATTTAAGGGTTTCGTAAAACGGTCCATAATACATTATACAAGTACAAGTGTTCATTATGCCATTTCACCTAATATATATGTGTTTAAGTTAAGTAGTTAACTGCGAATGTAAACAATTTTTACACCCTTAAATTATATTTACATGTTGTAGCTGTTAACATATCTTTTTGTAACAATTTCAAATATCACATTTGAGGAGGTTAACATATCGATATCCATTAGATACATAATTGTCTAAAAAATTTATTCATGCTGATGATAAAAATATTAATTTAATATATACAACATTAGGAAAATTTGGACCTCTAAAATTATGGTGCCTTCACCCTTTAACCGACACGTTAAACAATGTACAAATTTAAAACAAATTCCTTCATTTTGTGATTTTTTTTATGATTTCACAAATAAGGTGTTGACCATCAGTGTATCTATTGCCTCCCCTCTATTGTCTGCTTCTGTTTTTAGTAAGGTCTTCATTTCCTCTCTATCAGTCATTAGAATTTTCATGGTTTGTAACTAACTTCACCGAAGCCACTAAAACAATGAAAATAGAAATGTTATGCACAACAATTTACCAAAAAATAAAATAAATTTATTGTGTGTGGGGGGGGGGGGGGGAATGAATACACTGTTGAGCTTTCCCACATATTTCATTTATCGTTAAGTAAGTGTTATAGGGAAGATTGAAAAACATAAAAGGGATTTCTTATGGGATAAAAAGGTCATTTGGTAAATTGTCACCACACCAAAATGTTGGGGTGGGCTTGGGGATAAAGATCTTAGGGTCTTTAATAAGGCGCTACTTCGAAAGTGGCTATGAAGATTTGGTTTACAGGTGAATGCTTTTTGGAGAAGTGTTGACTGCGAAGACGTATGAGGTTTTGAAAGTAGGGAGAGGACTAAAAGTGTTTTTTTAAGAGCTCAATGTGTGTATATTTCAGAGTAGGTGATTGGAGTAAGGTGAGTTTATGGGAATCTAGTTTGTGAGGGAACAACATCTTGATAATCATATTTTCTAACTTGTATATAGAGTTTCTTACCAAAAAAAATGTCAGTTCAATTGTTATGGAGTATACAAGGGGAGAAGTGCATTGGGATTTGTTTAGGAGAAATTTGCAAGACTGGATTTTAAGAATTAAAACTTGATTGATTTGGTTCAACAAAAAAGTACTATGGATAACCATGACGTATGGAGATGACAGGTGGATGGAAATTGCATTCTTTTGGTGAAGTCATATTATGAGAAGCTTTTTCTGAAACTGGTATTATGAGAAGCTTTTGACTAGAGTATGGTTTTCCACATATATTGGTATGGATCGATTGGGTACCAAAAAAGGTGTCCTTTTCACTTCGCTAGCTTTGAGGAGAGTGCTCTTATAGGTGGAAAATCTCAGGAAGAGGTTAATTATTTTTTGAGCAAGATAAAGTTGTATTCCTCAGCAATGTGGGTATGCTAGCAACCATAAAAAAAATTACAGTGGAAGTAATCATAATTACAGAAAGCCTAAGAAGTCTACTAGCTGTTTTATCTCATCTATACCCTCTTCTTTACACCAAAGATATAAAGTATGAATGCAATTTTATTTACTTTTTGCATTGGATTAGTAATATCCTCAAAACATCTATAATTTCTTTCCTTCCAGATTGTATCAGTTGGTATTCATGTGCAATGAATCAGGAGAAGATGTGTATCACTTTTTTATATTGTCAGGAAATTTCTTGTTTATGATGGGAAATTTAAGATGGTTTGGACATGAGTGGATGCTGACAAACACTTTGAAAAAGAAACAATGTTTAGGTGTGCATTTAGAAGAAGGAAAAGAAGACGCGGGGCATGAGATGTTGCCCCTCTAGTACTTATGTGGATCATATGGAGAGAGGAATATGAGAGCTTTTGAGGGAGTAAAGAAATACTTTGTACACTTGAGGAGTACCCTATGTTCCCTTCTTTCTTTTTGGTGCCACCATAAGATTCCTACATGTATAGATGATTGAGCGTTATTTGTAAAAAAACAGGTCTGCTGCAAGGTTTTCTATTTTTTTGCTATACTTGTAGTATACGCGCAAGCTTTTGCCCTTTCTTTAATGAAATTTATTACTTAATTTTAGAAAAATCTAAAGGCCAACTAATTCATTATCTAGTCAAGTGACCTCATATAGAGGAGACTGAGGGTAATTTGTTTCTCATGTGATGTTGGAGTACCACTTTTTCTAGGGCAAGCAGCAATGAAACTGCTGAACCTTAACTGAAGATAATTTTAGGAGCTCAGGTAACATTACGTTTGTAACGAATAAGCAATTGAGCAGAATCACCTGGGTTCAATTGATATGCAGCCATCCAAGTCTCTGTGGAGTAGATGTTGAGGTCGTGTTCTTAAATTAAATGTTACTCAACCATTTCCTGTCTCTATGAGTTAAATTAAATGTTGCATAGCCTTTTCCTGTCCAAGTCTCTTCTCCATTGCGCTTTCATGCAGCCAATTCTAGTGAACTCTGATCAGCCGTTATGTTTAAACTAGGTTGGCTGGAACGGGGCATTCTTCAGTTTATATCTACTGAGTATTACTTTGCCTCCCCAAGCCCTTCTCTGTTGAGATTTCTTATGATTAGCATTGTTGGTTTTATCTTTTGCATAAAATCAGGGGAACGCATGATGGATTATATGAATTTGGATGATAGATCAATTGGGATGTTTTGGGTTGTGTCCTACACAATGGCTCAGCCTGCTTGTGAAACTGTGATGAACTGGTTAACCTCCGCGGGGGTTACTGAGCATTTACCTGGACCAAATTTGCAGTCCAATGAGAGATTAATGGTGATGCGTGAAGTTTGCCCCCTGCCGATATCATTGTTATCAGGATTGTCCATAAATTTATGCTTGAAAGTGGCTTTTCAATTGGAAGAATCAATGTTTTCTGGACAGGTACTGATAAACTCATATGACATTTCTTCTTTATGTAAAAAAAGTTCAGTAAGCGCTACGCTGAGAATTTTGAAAGTTTGGAGGTCAATCTTGTCCCACTCTTTCTTATGGTTTTATTGTCTTGGGTCATGTTGATTCGTGGAATGTTATACTAACTCTTGTCTTGGGTCATGTTGATTCGTGGAATGTTATACTAACTCTATTTTGACTGGAGGTAGCCAGCATTTTCCACCTTATTTTCTTTTGATGCTTCATTGCACCCGTTAAAAATGTTTAATATCATCCTCTCATTTCATTGCAGGCTGTGCCCAGCATCGCTATGGTTGAAACATACTGTAGGTTGATGCTCATTTCCCCTCATTCATTGTTTCGTTCGCTCTTAACCGTAACATCTCTTCCCCCCTTCTAATATTTCTTTTTTGATGTTTATTTTTCTGGCATGTTACCCAAATTCTGTGGAATTACATTCATTGTATTAACCTTCAGTAAGCAAAGAAACTTCGTGAGAATCCTGAGAAATATTGGAAAATAATACTACTGAATTCTGTATCTACATTATTACATTAAAAATATATAAAAAAAGTACATTGGAATCCTTTTCCAATTAGGATTTTCTCTTCCGAATTCTAAGTAACATTGTATAAACTTATTCCTATTTTAACACTCACCCAAGTTGGCGCATACAAATCATATGGACCTAGCTTGTTACAGATCTAATTAATACGAGGTCCGGTTAGAAACTTGGTGAACATATCTACAAGCTGATCATTTGATTTCACAAATTTCATGAAAGCACTGGGTTTGATGCAATATAAAGGGCCGTGACTATCATACACAAGTTCCATTGGACTAATTTCACCAAAATTTAGCTCTCTCAGCAAAGTTTCTTGATCCAAACTAGCTCACAAGTTGCTGCAACCATTGCTCAATATATTTGATTCTGCACTGGATTGAGCAACCACACCGTTTCTTGCTCTCCCCCGACACCAAATTACCTCCTAGTAAAACACAATATACGATGTCGAACATCTATCAGAGGGTGAAGAAATTCTGCCCAATCGTTTGTATATCTAGTGATATGCTCATGGCCTTGATCCTTGAAGAGTAGTCCTTTAGCAGGAACGACTTTATATATCACAAAATATGAACAATTGTATTCCAATGACTATCACAAGGGGAAGTCATAAACTGTCTTACAACACTCACGGGAAAAAAGATGTCAAGTCTAGTCACTATGAGATAATTAACCAGCCGTCTTTACCTTCCAGGATTACTTAGTGGCTCCCCCTGCCCGAGAAGGTATGGCACGATTGATAAGTTAAAAGTGAATACAAATCTATGCTACCTAAAACCTGTTCAGACCATGATCCTAATTGTATACAGAGCAGCAGTTTGGCAATGAAAATAAACCTTATTTCTAGTTTGAAGTTACGTGGAATGGAGATGAGGATTTCTTGCAATGGTAAAGGGATGGTGGGTCTCATTTGCTATTAGGGGTAATTATCTTTTTTCTAGCCAACGTTGAAGTGCTAAAATTAGTTTGAAGGAGAGGAGCAGAAATTCAATTGGTAACCTAGAAAGAACAAAGTTTGCAGTACTTCAATAATTGAAGGCACTAAAAGGCATTGAAGAACTGTGAGAACTGGATGTGGCAAAAGTTGAAGAAACCTTTTGGATGAAAAAGTTCAAGTCTTTATGGATCAAAATGGATGATAATACAAAATTCTTTCACATGATCGTGAATGCAAATAGAAGGTACGGCATGATAGATAAGTTAAAAGTGAATGCAAATATATGGTACCTAAAACCTGTTCAGACCATGATCCTAATTGTATACAGAGCAGCAGTTTGGCAATGAAAATAAACCTTGTTTCAAGTTTGAATTTACGTGGTATGGAGATGAGGATTTCTTGCAATGGTAAAGGGATGGTGTATCTCATTTGCTAATTAGGGTAATCATCTTTCTTCTAGCCAACATTGAAGTGCTAAAAATTAGTTTGAAGGAGAGGAGCAGAAATTCATTTGGTAACCTAGAAAGAACAAAGTTTGCAGTACTTTAATAATTGAAGGCACTAAAAGGCATTGAAAAACTAAGAGAACTGGATGTGGCAAAAGTTGAAGAAACCTTTTGGAGGAAAAAGTTCAGGTCTTTATGGATCAAAATGGGTGATAAATACAAAATTCTTTCACATTTCGTGAATGCAAATAGAAGGTACTGCATGATTGATAAGTTAAAAGTGAATGGGGAACTGAAGGAGGATCAGGAAGTAATCAAGAGGGAAACAATTAGCTACTACGTCAATTGGCGTGTGAAAATGAGACTTGGAGATCTTATAATTCAGATTGTTGTAGAATTACAGAAGATGATAAAGAATGGCTATAAAGGCCAGCATAAGAGGGTGGTTCAGGGAGTAGTTGCTCAACTTTTTCTCAGCTGAAAAGAAGGGATTAAAATGCCATTGGCAAAGCAGGCAACCTTTTACATATTGAAGGGCAACAATAATGTCACTACACTGCTTGAACCAGTCAAGAGGAGGACGAGACTTTGGGAGGTTCAAGAAGAAACAAAAAAAGACTGTAAGGATGGAATCAACTGATACAGGTACGAGGAAATTTGGTACTGGATGAGGGAGGGCAATTTTGAAGTGTGGGAAGAAAAAGGAGATCGAAAAATATAGACATATGAGATTCACAAATGCCTAGCATGCATGCAACACCAGCATTACTCAATGGAGGTGCTTTTCCTTTGTATGATAGTTAACTAGCTTCATAATGCAGTTTTATATCAAATAGGACAGGATACTCAGAATTAGACTGTTGTATAGACCATCCTTGGGCTGTCACTTACCTGTAATTAGCAACTTCCCTGTAGCGAACTCCCTTTGCCATCGCTTTGCAAACTGTGTCAATTTTAGTGCAGAATGGCGACAATATATTTGGCCTTCAATTGCTTTATTTCTTGTGTTTCTGTAGAATCACTTAAGTTTTGTATTCTGTTGATTGGAGGGTTGTTCATTTTTTATGGTGAGTCGGTGCAACATATTAGTGATCCTTTCCTCTTGTCTCTTGCAAATTCAGATGATTGTGGCTTTCCAGTATGTAGTGCTGCTAGAATTTCTGTCCATGTAGTTATTTTTCTTTTTTTGTAGAAAAATTCGTTAGTCTAACTCGTGTTTTTGTTTGCACACTTTTCTGCTGGAGTTCATTTTGTTTTGCTTTTGATGTGAACTTCTATTTCAGCATCTGACATCGAGGAATCCCACCACATTGACCAAGCCAGGAAACACAATCTTGGTGTTTGAGATTCTTAATTATCGTTTCCTTTCACTCTACAGGTTAGTGAAGTTACTCATCTTCTGAATTTATCAGCTTCTTCTCTATTATCTGTCTTCTCTACTTGTGTTTGCAAATGGTGTTCAATTTGGCTCTACTAAAGAAAAGTGCATTCACATTGCTACTTTTATGCTAGAACATCTGTGGTCTGTTTGATGTCTCTAGTGCTCATAACGTTACCATCTTTCTGAATCTCGTTAATTATTCGGATTCTGTTGCTTGATAACTGATAATAAGTAAATTGGTCTATAAACTTCTGCTTTTTTCTAGGTACCAAGGTAAGAGCAAGACATTGATGTATGATGTCACCAAAATGATTTCTACACTGAAGGGAAAACGCGGAGATCATCGCATTTTCAGATTGGCTGAGAACTTATGTATGAATCTGATTTTGTCGTTGAGAGACTTTTTCTTTGTGAAGAGGGAAGGGAAGGTGGGAATATTTCCTCCAGCTGAGCTTTTGTGGATGCACTGTATCTCCAATTAGAACTTTTTGTTAACTATTAAATCCATATGCAGGGTCCAACTGAGTTTACTGAGACTTTAAATAGGATAACAATTGTTACTCTTGCAATCATAATTAAAACTCGTGGAATTGGAGAGTTCGAACAGTTACTGTATCTTCAAACAATGCTGGAACAAATCTTAGCAACTAGCCAGCATACCTGGTCTGAGAAAACTTTGCGCTATTTTCCTTCAATTTTACGTGATGCCTTGAGTGGGCGAATGGATAAAAGGGGCTTGGCAATCCAAGCATGGCAGCAGGTACATGAGATAGTTCCTCTTCATACAAATTATCTAAAGATGTAAACCTTCTTATAAGTTATTTCTTAGGTCCATGTTTTCTGTGGTTTAAGGTAGGCTATCCATGATTAAGTTTAGTACGCGAGATAAGATGGGATATCACACGGTTAAGTTTGGGTAAATAGAATACTGTGTTTGGTTGATGGTTAAACTATCAACCAAACATAGTATAAATCTACTCCCGAACTTAATCCTGGGATATCCCACCTTATCCCAACCAATTTGGTATTATTTTGTTCCACCTCCCAGCTGGGATAAATTAGTTGCAGGACTATATCCCAGGATAATTTTGTCCGCAAACCGAACAAACCCAAAGAGTTTGCTTTATCTTCAAAGTTTTCTCCATGTCACTTTGGTAATAAGGTCATTATGGATGTTAGTTCATGTAATGGAAGGAAAACCATAGTCAAGAAAAGTTTGAATTAAAGTAGAAAAAAGAAGAGAAGGGTGCTGAACTGCATTTCCATAGTCTTAAAAATAGTAGTAGAAAATATCCTTTGCGGTGGCCCAGTGGTTTGGGCTTGGAACTTCCATGTTGGAGGCCTCAAGTTTGAAACCCCTTGCCAGCGAAAAAAGCAAGGGGTTTCCGTTCTGGGTTGAGCTCGTCGCACCGGGCTTTCCTAGTGCGGGGTACCTCTCCTATGTGGTGTGCAAGTTATTGCATAGGAGCAAGATTTTTAACCTGTGCATACACAAATGCTAGCGTCTGAGATTTCCTTGTCAAAAAAACAAAAACAACAGTAGTAGGAAATATGGCACAAAAAGATGAAATGAAATATCTCATCATAACTACATAATCTGTGTCTTTTAAAGTTGATATAGATGATAAAGCTCATTCTTTGTATTATCTAGTTACTTGCTACTTATTTTCCTCAAGTTTATCAAAATTTATTTCCTTCAGAAATTACCTGTGCATTTCATGCAGGTGCCATATTCAAATGTCAACTGTTTGCAGAAAGTCTACATATTTATTTGATACCCTGAAGACAGACTTTTATCAGGACTTAAAACTGAACAAGTTAAGCAATTAGATTTTGTGGCAATGTAAAATGGAAATCCATTAGGGGCCGTTTGGTTACAGACTTACGGTATAAGAGGCATGTTATTCATGTATAGAACATCGTATTAGTAATACTATGTTTGGTAGAAGTTTTTTATTAGATTGAAAAGTCAACATGACTTATACTATGATTGGTTGATAAGTTCTAAAAATTGTATAAAAGTTATTTATGTATTAATTTTATACGGTGTTTGGTTGCATTTTTTTGTACTCCTACATAATTAATACCTACATAACTTATGAAGGAATCAATGTATAAATTATGCAGGATGGAAGGTGGAATAAGTTATGTGGGTATTAGTTATCATGTGTTTAAATGGTAAATTACACATTTATACTATTTGCTTGCTTATGTATTTGTAAATAATATAAATTAATTGATAGTAAATTCAATAGTTAATAATTCATGGAATGCAATCTCTACATAACTAAATAATACCTTATATAACTAATAATGCGTACCTAATACTCACATAACTAAACCCTGCATAACAAATACCTACATAACTAAATCCTGCATAACTAAACCGTGCATAACTAATACCTGCATAACTAATGCCCCGCATAACTATGCATAACTAATACCTGCATAACTAATATCTTCATAACTCTAACAAGTAACCAAACGGCCCCTTACCACATTACTGTCCATGACTAGAGAGTTAAATGGCAAAATTCTGAAGAACCATTGAATTGTTTATTATGGAAATTGAAGTACTTATTAAATTTGTATCGTTGTAGTTGCTTATTAATCATAGAGAATAGCTCAAATTTGCATTTAGTGATACATTTCAGAAATCATGGCTTCTATTTCTGCACTCAACGTTCAAAGCTTTAAAATTGTTTAGTCACACTTGTTTTAGACTGTGGACTTCAAATGTTAGTATCAGTTATCAAACAGCTCTGAAGCTGTAATCTTAATGATTGAATCTTTTCGAGGCTGCTTATTGAGGATTCAAATTGCTATATTTGATGAGTGATCTCCGGAAGTAAAAAAGATTGAAAAAAAAAACAAGTATGATTTAATTTGATGAGTGATCCCTGAGGTAAAAATGAATTAAAAAAAGGAAAAGAGTATGGTTTTAGATGATAGATTTGCATCATTAAACAATTTTATCTTAACCAAAAAAGAAAAAGAAAAAGAGAGAGATAAAATTTTCCTGGATAGAGGCTTTGCAAATACTTGACAAGATGTTTCCCGGAATATGCTATTATTTTGAAAGCTCACAGTTGACTTCTAGGTGTTCTATTTGCAGGCAGAAACAACTGTTATCAATCAATGCACACAGCTTCTTTCTCCCTCAGCTGATCCCTCATATGTTGTGACTTATATTAACCATAGTTTTCCTCAGCACCGCCAGTATCTCTGTGCTGGTGCATGGATACTAATGCATGGGCATCCAGAAAATATTAACTGCACAAACCTTGTAAGGCTCGACTTTGTTTTCCCTTTAAGTTATCAGAAGCTTATGAGTGCTGATCAACTTCTTTCTCATATGGAGATATCCCGAACAAAAATTACATCTTTCTCATGATGGCATTCCTGCTAATAATTGGACAGGGACGTGTTTTGAGAGAGTTTTCTCCTGAAGAGGTGACTGCAAATATTTATACAATGGTAGATGTCCTGCTTCATCATATTCACTTGGAACTACAGCGTGGACATCCCTTGCAGGTTTATTTATTCCTATCAGATTTTCATGGAGGATCTACTCTCCTTGCCTTGCTTTAGCCTTATGTCGTCCATCACTTTTTATTCCTCAGGATCTTATGCTAAAAGCCTGTGGAAACCTTTCAGTTTTCATCTGGAACCATGAGCTTTTGCCTCCAGATATCCTACTGCTGGCACTTATTGACCGTGATGATGATCCACATGCTTTGCGCATTGTAGTATGTTGTCTATGATCTTTCTCAATTAGTTTCTTGTCTTAATTCATCTGTCTGTTGGTAACAGTGGTCTAAGCATATCATCATCAATTCTTGTGTTGATGTTTTTACATTATTTGTTTATATTATAGTATTCTTTGACTTTTTCTCTGCTCTCAATTCTAAGTTTGTATTCTGGGGAAATGGTATTTGGTGTCATGCTTTGCTTTCTATTCTAGATTTGGGTTTGGTTTCATTCCTTTTCAATAAGAATTTATACTTCCATTCTTAAGCTATCATTTATGAGGACAAACTGGTAATACTAGCTTGCTTGAAGAAGATATCATCTTCACTTTGGCTATGATTTCTTACTATCTAGTTCAGCTAATCAGACTGTAACTCTTCTTGCACAGTTACTATATTCCAATCAGCTTATTTTGGGTATGAAAGTTTATCTTCCACAATTAAGAACTGCGGAGAAGAACTAAATGAGGCGGGAGGGGGATCTCTGGCTCTGAATTTCAATGAAACAAAAGTATATTCATTCCTTTACTAAAAATAAATAATTTTCTGAAGAATTTGATTAATATGAGATGCCAAGCTTATGGAATCTCATTTCTCTATATCATGCATGATAATGCATAATACCAGGCCTATCTGGTTTATTGGCTCGCAGTGGGTCCATACAATTCGTGAGTGGTTATTATTGCTGTTGACATCAACAGCTTGAGCTTTCTGCCCCACTAACGTCATAGTTCCACCCATAGGTTAATGAATGTAGTCATTTTGCTAATTATTTGAAGTCTTAGCTCAACACTATTATTTCTCCTAATGATTGGCGTCTGTCTTTCCATTTATAGAAAGGGAAAATCTAATCCATTTTCATGGTTCATGCTACAGTGGTAGAACAACTGCAAATTATTGTCTGACCTATTGAAACAAGTTATGTTCCGTCTCCTTTCTGAGTATGATAGAAAGACGAATACTATGGAATGAGAACAAAAGGAATGGCGTTACAGTATCCAGAGAGTGATATTTTACTTCTGCAGAGAATTGCTGTGTTAATATCCGTTTCTCCTTCATTATGGCATGAATAAGAGAAATTCACTTGAGTTATGATCCAAAAAATGAGAAAAAGAAGACTGAAAAAATCTCAAGTGTTATAGAGTGAAAAAAACAATAGTTTATTTATGTTCAGTTCGCATAACATTTCTGTTTGCAGTTTCCCATGGGATGTTCCGCTTCCTGCATATGCGGTCATTCTAATTATGAACCTCACCATGATTGTAAGGGCTTTTCATTCACATTAAGAATGCTCTTAGAATCCCTTATATTCTAGAATATGCTAAGATCATGTAAATGTACTATAGCTTGATTTACTCCTGTAATTATGTTTTTAATTCTATTTCCCTTCTTAGAACACATACACTTTTCTATTAGAACTCCAATGGCTTAGAGAATAATCAAGCTTTGCTCTCTCTCATTTTCTCTTTCCTTCTCACCGTGATCACTTTCAAGTAAGTGTTGTAGTTATTTGCAATTTATTGGAATAGTGACTTATTTTATTAAAATTCCAAACAGATTAACTTACTTGACAGTAAGGAGCTCCAACAAAGAGTGAAAGTTTATCTCTTAAATCGTGGCCCGCCTGAGCATTGGCTTTCCCCTGGACCTTTCAAGCGTGTGGAATTGCAGAAAGCTCTTGGAAATTATCTGTCATGGAAGGAGAGGTAACAAAGTGAACATTTTTTGTTCTTCAGTGTTTTCTTTTGTTTGGTTGTTTGAAATGTTTATACTTCAGCCGGAGGTCTATCAGAAACAACCTCTTTACCTCTTAAGGTAGGGGTAAGGTCTGTGTAAACTCGAACCTCCCATACCCCACTTGTGGTATTACATGTTGTTGTGTAACATCTTGGACATTATCATATGCAATAAAAAAGTTCGTTATAGTTGGTGAATGTCGAAATTTTAATCGTCAAACCAAGTATCTCTTTGGTTATGTCCAATGCTTATGCATAGCTTCTATTACCATTGTTATACTAACATTTATTTTATGTAAAAGTGAGTAAATAAATACACCCATGTTTGACTTGATACAACTTCAATTGGATCAAAATGAACTTTTTAGCTCAGATTCAGTTTTCAATGTTTTATCATCAGTATAAAAGTTCTACATTTTTTTGTTCAAATGTATTTCTGATACTGGATCAGACAGATTTATATGATTCTCCTGATCGAATCAATTGAGATTCAACTTCATCTGTTTGATGTATTAGAATTGCATTTAGATACCCAAGATAATAACCTACTATCTTGTCTGAATTGACATGGAGATGGTGCTTTGTTACATCTTTGTGTAGAAGTACACACGGTGCTGAAAAATTTATAGTGACACTTTTAGTGTCATCCTTGAAGTTTTCTGAGGCTCTGGCTAACTTGGTTGACTAGTACAACAAAACCCACTTGACATTTATCTTGGAGAATCGATCCAATTAAACATAATTTGCTGCAACACACATCTTTTGAGCTCTGATCATTGGAAAATGCATAAAAATTCCTCTAGTTATATTTAAATTATTCACATGCTTATTGTTACCACTTCTCTTAAATATGTGATCACTGTTCTATCAAGTCCTTGAATAACATTATCACACACATTTACACCCAAGTGGTGTAGCAAACTCCAAATTCTTTTAAGGGAAAAAGGACAAATATAACCCCGAACTATCGTTAATAGTATATAAATACCCTTCGTCATACTTTTCGTTCATTAATACCCTACCGTCCGAAAATCAGTGCACATTTACCCCTCCCACTAACGGAAACCTTATTTTGTACACCTGTCGCAATCCTACCGCTCAACCTGATTTAATTAATTATTTAACCCAAAATTCAATATCCACCCATACCCATTTAACCCACCCAATTTACCCATTACCCATTTAACCCACTCAATTTACCCATTACCCATTTAACCCACTCAGTTTACCCATTACACACAAATAAACCCATTTTCTTAAGTCATCTTCTTTATCTAGAACATTCATTATTATCAGGCCTCAACCACCATGAACGCTCACTCTGAAACTCAAGCAAGAATTGAAAAACTAATTCCAACTAGATTAAATCCTCAACTTTCGACAGTCTACGCCAGCAAGAGTTAATTTTCAGTCACCGTCTTCTCATACGAACTTGAATTTATGAGATCTAATCGGCATATTCTCTGCAAGAATCTGTTGACCCACTTGCTATACCCAATGTTCCACTCACTTCCCCACTAGTTTTTGCTTCTTTTTGCCCCCACACTCCACTTCTCTGCTCTGCATGTTTTTGTGATGATTGTTGTTGTTTCTATGCTGGTAGTGGTGTTTTGCGGCTGCCATTGGAATTACTGCTTGGCCTCATGGTGGTCGAGTAAATATGATTCTAAAATTACTAGTGCACAAACTATTGAATTTGAAACTTGTTTTGATCTGTTCCTACTTCGTTGAGATGGCCCTACTCTTCCAAGCACTTCCTATCTGCTTGCTGCCAAGTTCCAATTACTTTTCGTTTTCCGGAGAAGTTCCAGCAGCTTCTGACCTATCTAACAACTTTCTTGCATTTCTGAACATATTTTTAAGAAAGCTTCCAGAATGAACTAATGTAGTGTCTTGGATACATATCTTTACGATATGTTTGGAAGTTCCAGATTCTTGTTAAATAGTTAGAAGATTAAGTTGTCATGATTATTCTTGTAGATGTATCTAGAGCATCCCTACACAAGTATAAATAGGGGTGGCAGTCCTTTGTAGTTAACCCAAAAGAAAAATATCCACCTCGAAGCAATTCGTGCCAATTCAAAAAGTCTTCATCCATAACAAAGTTCTACTATCTTAATTCTTCCTTCTCCTTTCATAGCTTCCTCTCTTCAGTGGAATCTTCTTACCATAATTAACGATCTTGGCTAGCAGAAGGTTTTTCCAATTATATTTTCTTTTGTTATTCTCTTCAATATCATGCCTTTGAGAACAAGTCTAAGAAGGTTAGGTGCCTGCACACCTAATCCCTTGATTTCTACTACCAAAGCTATTGCTAATCATCAATAGTAGTTCCTTCCATATTCTAGCAAGGAAACATAATAAACATCGTGAATTCAACACTATGGTTCCCATACCCTTTGCTGCCCATGATTATTTACACAACTAACTTCAGTTCTTAGGTTACAGGTTCAAAATTCAAGACTAAATTCAAGTTTACTCATGAAAATTTGTCTATTTCCTTCTTTGTCTGCTAAAATCTTCTTGGTAGATTACTGAGTCCGAATTTAATCTTTTCAAGTAGCTGTATACTATGTGGCTTTTTTTCCATAAACGTGAGCCAATATGAAAATGCAGTTTTTGAACCTAAATGAGGAGACCATTACAAGTATGCAAAACCCTTTGTGCCGTGGTATGCGTCGCAGAAGAAACTACCTGTACTTGGCTCACTGACAGCTTTTTTCTGCATCTTCTACGGCATGGGAATTTCTTCCACTGCTTTATCAATATGAACTTTCTGCCTCTATCTTCCTGAAGTACGAAGTTTAATATGTCCATGTCATAGGAGGCCCACACTAGTACTAGCAACTTGGTTTTACTTTTATTTGACATCCTGTTTTTGTAGATGTTGTCGTTGTGTGATCAAAGGGTCACAAGTTCAAGCCATGGAAACTCACTCTCGCAGTAATGGTTGGTAAGGGTGTTCACAATGGACTTAATGTGGTTCGGTCTTCCCCAAACCCAGGCGTGGTGCACCCGGCTTCCCCTTTTGTTTAGACCCTGGTTCCGCCAAACATCCTGTAACACATGTTTGTTGCCTTGAACTTGATCTTTATATCATTTGAAACTTGTTCGTGATTCAGGGTATTACGCGTTCACTGTCCGTCTAACGATTCATTTAATACTGTAAATTTTTGGGGTACATAAATTCATGTCATCTCACATACATCAGACACATATGGGACACATGAGGACTCTGAATGTCCATATCTTATGTATTCTTCTCCCTTTAGAAATTTGATAAGATGCGGAAAGACTTCTTCAGAAAACTACTTCTCAGGATACACATTCTTCCACTATTTCTAGTTCAATGAGATGAACAAGTGATAAATTTTCTAGTTTTTGTAGTACAGTTTGTTCAGCTCCCTTGAGATTTTTGCAAATGTTTTCCTCTATAGCCACGACAATATCACATACTTTAAGACTATCACTCTTTCAGATATGTTTAGTTGCTGACATCGGAAAACTAGACACATCTTTTATTGAAAAGAGTTTACTTCAAGGATAGCTTAGTTTGAAGTCATCCATAGAATTACAATCCACGTATGATACTGTTTTCTGAGTACAAACTTTATGCACTTCCAAGGTCTTTTATATTTAGCAGGCTAATAGTAGAAGAGTGTGAAGGATTAACAGGGTTAAAATGAGTCCTAAGGAACCCTAGTTTTCAAAATGATTGAAGATACATGAGTGTTTTTGTCATTAATAATTATCTGACTTGTTCTCTCTTACTGGGTCTTTTAAATATATAGTCCAAATGCATAAGGATAAAAGGGTTTAAAGGTAAATTCTCAAGGAACTATCTGATTTTCAAAATTATCAGTGTCTTATAAGACGAGTTTGATGCCAAAGCAGGCTTTTACGTCTATGCAGTTTGGTCATTTTTAGATGATATAAAATCACATGATTGGCTTAATAACATTTGAGCTGATTCAAAATCATCAAAAAATTCAAAAATAAATCATCAAAACAATTAGTGGTTGTTTGGTAGCTAATTAGAATTATACCGGTATTAGCAATGCATGAATTAGTTATAAGGTAATTTATGTATTTTTTGATGACCAAACAACGAGATAATTTATGTATACTTGCATAAAATAATACTTAGATTCTCTTGTAACTTATACGAGTATTATTTATGCATGTTTCTAAATCGCAAATCAATCACCGTTTTAATTTGATACATGAATAACTTACCTCATAACCAACTACCAAACATGGTATTGGTTATGCAATATTTGATACCTGCATAACTCACTTCCAATTCAGCTACCAAATGAACCCTTATTTATTACACCTAGCAACTTCTTGAGCTCTCCTTCAGGCTTTAACTAATTAACTTTATTTCTTTTTATTGTCTATGATCCATATTATATGGTATTTTTAACTTTTATTTTTACTTCTAAAATAAATGTTCTGTTACATAATCAAGAAAACATTATTTTCATTTTTTTGAAATACCCTTAGTTAGATAAGTAAATTTTGACATAATGAAAAAATCATATTAAATGGGTACAGTTTTATCAAGGATAATTTAGAACATATTCATCTTTTTAGGAAAAAGTGAATTTCTTATGCAGTGATCAGTCAGAGCGATTAGAAGATATCTATGATGCTTTAAATTAAAACCATTTGTTTTATTGCTCAAAATTCTCCCATATTTTATCCTAACTAAGCACTAATACATTTGATTATGTTATTTCTTGTTCTTTTTATTATAAATGGCATTTGATTTCTAAAGTTTGACTGCTAATACAGTTCTTAGAGAAGACAAATGTGAATATCACTGTATTTTAAAAATATTAAATACTGCAACAGAAACTACGAAACTTCAGCTTATGGTGATTCGGCCTGTGCAGAGCAATAACTTCCCCTTTTTTAGTAGTCATAGATAAGCAGGTTATCTTTCGTATTAAAATTATCAGATGAGTAAAGAAAGCAGCCAACAGTAGTGGTTATAATTTCTATTCTAGGAAAATAGAATGAACAATTCTAATTGGTGCTAAAACTGTTAAAAAAACCTGTTATTAAAACACCAACTTATACTTGATTTACTTGTGGTTTCAGGTATCCAACATTTTTTGATGATATTGCTGCACGCCTGCTTCCAGTCATCCCCCTTATCATATATAGACTCATTGAAAATGACGCTATGGATGCGGCTGATAGAATTCTTCAAGTTTATTCACCCTTCCTTCATTACTATCCTCTGAACTTTACGTTTGTTCGTGATATACTTTCTTATTTCTATGGTCATCTTCCTGGAAAGCTAATACTCCGTATACTGAATATCTTAGATATTAAAAAGGTGATGGTGGTTGATGCTCCGTAACTTGCTAGTTTGTTTTACCTTCTCTTTTAGTAATTATTGAATCATTCTCTTTTTCTTTTCTTCTATGCAGATACCATTTTCAGAGTCATTCCCGCAACATATCAACTCATCAAATGCAGCCATGTGCCCACCATTGGACTACTTCGCTACTCTTTTGTTAGGACTGGTGAATCATGTTATTCCCGCTTTAAATAATAGCTCCAAATGTGCAGTGATGGGAGATTTTGCAAATAATTCTACCCGTGCTCCCCATGGAAAGATCCCAGCAACATCACAATCTGGGACAACTAATTCTTTTGACGGGCAGAAACCTTATTATCAGATGCAAGACCCTGGGATATCCACCCAGCTTACTCTTGAAACAGCTGTCATAGAATTACTTTCTCTTCCTGTTTCACCATCACAGATTGTCTCATCTCTAGTTCAAATTGTTGTTCACATACAACCAACCCTTGTTCAATCCAGCAATGGGCTTCATGGAGCTCCTGGTAGTTCAGGACAAGGCTCTATTTTGCCTACTTCTCCTTCAGGAGGAAGCACTGATTCTTTGGGTGCAACTAGGACGACTCCATCACTTTCAGGATTGAATACTTCTAATTTTGTTTCACGCAGTGGTTATACTTGCCAGCAGCTGTCTTGCTTGTTAATCCAAGCATGTGGTCTTCTTTTGGCACAACTTCCTCCAGAATTTCATGTGCAGCTATATGTTGAAGCTGCACGCATAATAAAAGAAAGTTGGTGGCTTACTGATGCTAAAAGGTCTGTGGGTGAATTAGAATCGGCTGTTAGTTATGCTCTACTAGATCCCACCTGGGCTGCACAGGATAATACCTCAACAGCCATTGGTATGCTTTCTTAACCAATCTGGTATAGCTATACTTGTTTATTTGCCCACTCCCTTTTTTCTCTCTATCGATTGACCTCTATTGATTAGTTTGCTGATCATGAAAATCCAAAAATTCTAGGTGAAAAAAAGTAGGTAAAAATAATGATCTTGGACTCTGAAGTAATGTGTCATACCGGTTTTAGTTCCATATTATTTAACTACTCATATGTAGACTTCAATAGAACAATACAGACATTTTTACTGCTTGAAGTTAACAGAAACCAGAGGAAAATGTTTCTATTAACAGAATTTTGATTATAAAAATAAAAAAAAGTAAAAGAAAAGGAGTAGCAAAACTTGATGATACGCCACTTTCTCCTCCAACCTTCCCCTTGCTGATTCTCTTCGATCTCCTGTTCATCCTCCTACTGCTTTCACCAGAGAAAACATGTTCAAGTTATTCAAACTAAACATCTGCTTACTAGTAGAATGTTAGGAAACAAAGATAATCATATCCTCTGTCAATTTGTAAATAATCCAGTTTCTGATTTTTCAGTAGAAAATCTATCAAGATTGCCCATGATGCTGGAAGTTGAATGAATAGAAATGTTATGTAGTTGGAAAAATTTAGAGGCAAGCCAATCAGGTTGCTATACTTCTAAAAAGCTTGTGCCAACACTATAACATCAAGTTCGAAAGAACATCGTCATCTTGAGATATCAGGTGCTCGACCTACAATGTGTTGTGGCTTTCTTTATGATTTACCGTCTAATTTTTCAAACTTTAACTTTGGGAATGTCGTGCCTCCCCTCCCCCCACCCAAAAAAAAAAAGAAAAGAAAAAGAACAACTTGTGGTGAAAAATTGTTCTTCCATCCAGTCTTTTGTCTTGCCTTGAGCAGCTAATAGCATCTCGAATGTCACAACTGGCTATGGTACAAGCTCAGACGTTCTATTCCAAATATAAACCACAACGTGGTCCTTGCCTTGCTTGTACTCAATACATAATCAAATATAACCAAGATATCCTGCCACCTACCTTGCTTCACTATGAACTTCTTGTGGTTGGAAATAGCTAGTGGCCGCATTGTTGGCCTTGACCATGAACTTTGATGCAAACAAATAATTTCTTTAGGATGGCTTTCATCTTCTTCTCTTATATGGTATAAGTTTCTGTTTCAGCTGTCATGTTTGCTCCCTTTTTGTCTTCTTATACCTTTCACTATTCCTCTTGTTCTCCTTGTCTAACCTTTCCACTAGTATTGTGTACGCAAACTTCTTGGTCTCCAACTTTTTCGTGGACCTGTCCATTCCACCGAAAATCCCCTTGATGCTCACTATTATGCCCACAAGAGTTGCCCCTCAATACCCCTTAATACCTCTGTACTTGCTTCCTTGACACAACAATCTATTATAGCCCACTTACTATTAGCGGTTTTGCTATCTCCCAAGGCCCATTTGCCACCAACTTCGTCCCAATCTCATGAGCTCTAACCCTAGTATAAGGCCTCCCTATCTAATCTTTGGCTGATTACATGCAACCTCCTACTCCTTCTTCCTCTTCCTCATGGCATCTAAATCCAATGACAAGTGTATGTTGGGTTGTAAGATTCTCGCTCGGAATAACCTTGCCGTCTTTAGAATTGGGGACTATTGTTATGGGTGTTAAGATACAAATTATGTATTGTATATTACAACATTTTTTGTTTGAGAAAGGTAATGTTAATTTTATATATCCATAGGTATACTACATCAAAGTGTAGTCCCCCTCCAAAAAGTTTTACTTATATCATTCCTAGGGTCTTCTAGGTACAACCAGTCAGTAATATTAAGAACATTTTCAGCATCTCCTATCACTACTTGCTTACACCAAAAATAATAAAGCCCTAGGCAATAATTAGTCTTTATCTTCTGGATATTGTTCTGTTTTCCTTCAAAACATCTTTGATTCCTTTCCTTCCAATTGTCCACCAAATGCAAGCTGGGACAGTACTCCATCTCTTCTCATTTTTTCTTGCATTTCCATCCTTGTTCCAGCATTGTAGGACTTCTATAATACTCCCAGGCTTTGTCCACTTAATCTTCCTCTTTTGGATGAACATCTGCCACTAGTCCATTTGCAATGTTAAAAGAGATGGTTGACTGTCTCAACCTGTTCTTCACATAGATAGAAACTAGAACGTTGAGTGGGTTTCCTCTTGTTTAAGTTTTCATGTGTCAAGGTGCCTGCTTTGCCAAGAGCCATGTGAAGTAATTCACCTTTTTGTGATTTTCTGTTCTCCAGATCATCCTCCAGGGCCGTCTGCATGCTGCTCCTCCATAGACCTGAGTTCTCTGTATGCTGATTTTACAGTAAACTCTCCCTCTTCCATACTAGTCAATCTTTCTCTCTTGTCAGCTTGGTAGTCATTTGCATTGTATCATGAAATCTTGCTATGGTTGTCATCTCCCAATCATTTAGGCCCCTTCTTAGATACAGGTTCCACCCTTGTCCTGTCCATAACTCTGCCACTGTTGCTTCTTGTCCTTGGCTCAAACTATGTAGTACAGGGAAAGCATGTTTGAGTGCTTCCTGTCCACACCAATGTCATTCCAAAAAGCTACTTTTTCTCCATTGCTGACCTTGCAGCTTGTTCTCTCTTTAACCAGCTGCCACAGGTTCCTGATAGACCTCCATACACTACAGTTGTAAGGGTTGGTGAACACCTCGTCCATTTATCCTCCATGCCAAATTTTTCTATTATTACTTCCTTCCATAGAGATACTTCTGGTTTGACAAATTTCCACAACCATTTGATCATCAAACTTTTGTTTTGGGTTTTCAGTTCCCTGATATTGAGTCCACCCCCTCTCTTACTTACCAGCAACTTCTCCCATTTGACCAAATGGGACTTTCTCTTATCTTCGCTTCCATGCCATAGGAAGTTCCTCCTAATCACATCCAACCTCCTGGTTACCTTGGCTGGTATAGGGAATAATGACATCATGTACGAGGGAAGGGCATTTATGACAGTGTTAACTAGAGTTAGTCTGCCACCTGACGATAAATATTGACACTTCCAGTTTGCAAGCTTCCTTTCACATTTCTCAAATACTCCACTCCATATTTCTTTTGACTTGCTCTTAGACCCCAAAGGCATTCCCAAGTAGGTTGTTGGTAATTCACCCACTTTCCCTCCTAGTATGTTGGTTAATTCTTCAATATTGATCACTATGTTGACCGGATAGATGAAACTCTTGCTGCAGTTTATGTGCAGACCTGAAACAGCCTCAAAAATATTGAAGATGACCTTCAAAATCAACATCTACTCCTCTACTGCAAAAAACTAGAGTATCATCTGCATATTGTAGATGAGTAATCTCTAGGTTATTTCTTGTGTTATTTCCCACTTGGAAACCTCTTATGCAGCCCTTTACTTTTGCTGTCTGGAATAGGTTGTTTAGTCCTTCCATGGCTAAGATAAAGAGAAAGGGGGATAAGGGGTCCCCTTATGTCAGACCTCTATATGATAAGAAAAAGCTCATGACATGGGTTTCTATTAATCAGAATAGAGTCCATTTTAGCCATTTTGGTCCAAATCCTATCCTATGTAATAGATTCATCAAAAAGTTCCAATCCAAATGATCAAATGCCTTCTGGATATCCAATTTACATAGGACCCTTGTTGCTTGTCTCTCTCCCTGGAGTCTACACTTTCATTGGCTATAAATAGTGCATCCCTTTCTTGAAAAAAGCCATTTGTTGACTATCCACTAGCTTATGTATCACTTTTTTCAATCTTCCGGCCAATAGTTTTGCAATTATCTTGTACACTCCTTATATTAGACTTATTGGTCTGAAGTCATTTACAGTTTGTTAGGATCATTGTTACTCATTGTTTCATAATGTATTGTTTTATATTGTACTCTATTGCATTGTACTGTATGGTAAATACAATGTTTGACTAGATTATATTGTTTATTGTTGTTTAATAACATTTTAATTGTTTGGTTTGATTGTATCGTACTGTATTGTAATTTATAAATTTACTTAAATATCCTTAATTGTTCTAAGGTAAGAGGTTTGACTAGGTCTAAATTATTAAGGTAAAGGGTAAAATAGTATCTTGAAATATTATGTAAATATATAATTGGAAAAATAAATTAAGTAACAATGGGAACACACCAAATTGGTTGTTCTATTAAATAGGAAGTTCCATTGTTAAGTAACAACGAAATTTAACAATACAGTACAATATATTTTAAGTAATAATCAAAACAGACATTGTAGGTATAGTAACGATACAATACAATACAATGGATAACAATGATCCAAACATAGTGTTAGTTCCACAGCCCCCGTCTTTTTTGGTATCGAGGTCACAAAAGTAGCACTTATACTCTTCTCAAATACCCTATCCTCATGGAAGTTTTGAATTACTTCCACCACTTCTTTATTGATGACTTCTCATAATTGGCTAAAGAAAGCCATGGAGAAACCATCTGGGCCAGGGGCCTTGTCAACGACACAGGCTTTGATGCCTTTTCTAGGATTTCCTGTGCTTCCAAAAGGGGCCATCAATTGGTTATTGTCATCTTATCAATCGTAGGGCACCCTAACATTTCTAAGTCTGGTCTCCAGTCCTAGGTTTCAGCATATAACTTCTCATAGTACTCTGTGATCTCCTTTTGTATCTCAGCGGGCTCAGTCAATATCTCATCTCCGACTTTAATCTTATCAATAGTGTTGACTCTTCTATTGCTGTTTCGTGGAAGAAGCTTGTATTCCTATCCCTCTGTTTAAGCCATATTGCCCTAGATCTCCTCTGTTCCATGTTGTTTCCTCTTTTTTTGCTATCTCCTCAAACCCAACAGTAAGAGCCAATTTGGAAGCTATCTCCTCTTCCTCCAAAATTCTCTGGTCCTGTATCATTTCAAATTCCACTAACTGGTTTAGTACCAATTGCTTCTGTTGACTCAGATTGCCTTGAGTGGTCTTGCTCCACTCTTTCAACTTAGCTTTCAAGGGCCCTTAGCTTTGCTACAAGTACAAAGTCTGGTTTTTCATGGAAGCGAAAATACTCCCACCAGATCATAATTCTATCATTGAATCCATCAGTAGTCAACCACCAATTTTCAAACTTGAAATATGATTTGGTTGTCCCCATTCTCCACATTGTAGGATTAATGGGGAGTGATTAGAGACCATTCTCTGTAAGACAAATTGTTTAATGTTCCTGAAATTTGAGTCCCATTCTTTAGAGATCAGAAACCTGTCTAGCCTTGCTACTGTGGAGTGTCTGTCACCTCTTCTCCAAGTGAACTTTCCCCCTTGCTAAATCTAAGTCCATTAATTCCATGTCTTCAATGAACTCTGATAGCTCTATCATTGCCCTATTGATTTTGTTACAGTTGTACTTCTCAAAAGGATACCTCACAATGTTGAAGTCCCCACATAGGACCCAAGGGCCCGTGAATAGACCTCTTGTTGTCCTTAACTCCCACCAAGTTTCTTCCCTTTCTGCTCTATCATTCGGTGCGTAGACACCTGTTAGATGCCATTTTAAAATCCAGATTCTCCCTAGAGAAACAAACAAAAACTGAATACGCATCCACACTACTCACTTCCCCATCCCATCTTCTTTTATCCCACATAATTATTATGCCTCCCTTGGTACCACTAGCTTCGAGTTGCACGTAATCTGCCCACCTACTACCCCAGATTTCCTTAACTTCATTAGCAATCTCCCCCTCCATTTTTGTCTCTTGAAAACATACCACATCTGCTTTCCAAGTTCTTATCATGTTCCTGATAATATTCCTTTTCCTCCCACAATTCAGACCCTCACATTCCATGACACAATGTTTAAATTCATTGATCCATAATGGCCAAACCCTCCCCCCCCCCCCCCCTCTTTCCTTTACCTCTAGTACCATTGGTATAGAACTTAGAATCCAATTACAGCCTTTTTAGTTCTAATATTCCTTTCCTCTTCTCTGTTGTTTGATTACTCTGTTACCCTGTTTCCTTGTTTATTGCTATCGATATTCATAAACTACTCCTTCGCCTCTCCTCACACCCTTTGAAATTAACCCCAAATTCCGAGCTTAGTTTGATTATATTTTGCTGTATCCAATCCGAAGTGCTCATGTCTTCTTCTTGAAATTGGATACCTAATGGAATAGCTTCCTCTATACCTCCGTAGCTCCTTCTAAATTCTCCTCCTCCAGTGGTTGTACAATTACCGTTATACTCTTCTCCCCCAATTCTTCTCTATTCACGACTGCCATTTCCACACTCTGTCTCGCGACTTCCAGTTCCCCTCGGCCTCTATTCCATTGCGTGATCTGGCGTTGAATTTATTTTCCTTTGCTTTGTTTGCTGATATCTCGATATTTATTTTATCTACAAGATACGTTATTGATGTGGGGGCTCTAGAATTTTCCACAACAATTGGGTGCAAAAAATTTTGGCCCAAAGTTTTTGGGCCCAAAAGTTCGTTTTGAGCTAATTTTTTCCTGCTATACACATTATTTTCCCCTCCTGTAAATCTCAGGCCCACTTGCATGCGAGTCCCCTCAATTGAAGTCCCCACGTGCCCATCCACCTTTTTCGCCGGTTGAGCCTCCTTTATCTTCTGCAAACGCTGATCCTGGGTATTGACCAGTGTGTATTTGCCTTTCTCCTCTCTCCTCTCCTCTGATAGTCTTACTGTGACTGGAGCTTTGCACCACACCGGGATGATGTAAGTGAAGCCATCACATGTTGCTTCTACCTCTCTGGGAATCCTCTCACCATCGCTTCGTACTTTGATTCTGGCCCAATGAAGGTGATTCTTTAGAGAAGTCTCATCCTCCGTCTTGATAAAGCCTCCACATATAGTAGCGATCTCCTTGAATACTTTTTGTGACCACAAATTCATAGGTAAACCCAGCAACCTAATCCATACCCAATCTCTCCTTACCTCTGCCGGCCAGCAGCCTGTCGTTCGTTTCTACCATTCAATCCCCACTTCATCTTCCTCCACACCCACTTACCTGTTAAGACATGCTCTGCTACCACTTTGTATTGCAATTCAAACATGAAATACCATGCATGGCATACACTTTGACTTGTATCACCAACTTCCACGAATTACAAGCCGATCTTCTTACATCGTTCAAACTAGGGGTTTCGTCTGCTTGGCATTGAAATTTTCCTATGATGCACCTATTCAAGAGATCATTGAATGGTTGCGATTCACCACCTGTGATTCTTACTTTGTTCGCTGTACTCTGTATTTCGGCCTTATCTGTTGCCTCCGTCATCCATCTATCTTGGAAGAGGACTTCTTTTTAAGACTTGTGAAGCTGTTTTCTGTCCTTCACTGCTGTTCCCTGTGTTTTGATTGGCTCATAAATGAACCCAACAATCTTGTGAGCTATATTCCCCCAGCCTTTTTTGGGTGTGGACTCCGGAGTTATTATGACAGACTTGTTTTGACCTTGTAATGCTATAAAGCTGATGTATCTTCCACTTACATTGTATTTAAGAGTGCAATAAAATTCTGCAAAGTGGTCTTTCATGTTCCACCTCTTTACTGTCCTTCCGTGTGTCTTTAAAGCTTCAATAAATACTGCAACTAACCATTTCAGGACTTTAATGCTAACTTTCACTCCTCTCATTAATTTTCTTTTGCGCTCCACCCATTCAAACCATTTTCCACCCTCGTCTTTGCATCTCGTAATGTCGTAGGACTCGAACCCTGCATTGTAATAGATGATATCCTCCCCTATTGGGTGTGGTCCGGAACCTTGCCGGATCCACCCATCTGAAACCTTGAGTTTGAATAATTTAAGCTAAAAGCTGACAGATCTCAATTAAAGTGCCTGGTATGTATTTGACAGTTTATTGAATTTATTAAATTGACACTAGTATAATTAAAATCTGTGTGAACACTTCATATTTTTTTCATAAGTTATCCATATAATAGCAAAGCTCTTCTATTTTATGTAAATATAATATGATATATGCGAGAAATAAAGGAAAAGAATATTATTGAATTGTTGTTTCTAGATTATTACAGAGACACCCTATGTATAGACACTTCAATAGACACCTTTTCCATCTAGGACACTACAATACAATCCTTTTCTAAGTTGGACACTACATACTAAGGATTGTATGTACCTATTACTATCCTAACAATATTTCTAGTCGAACTATATTTCTAAGGTCTTAGATGTAGTCAAAGCACCCAAGCTAGGTTAACCATATCTAGTGTGGATCCCATAGCCACACCCAAATCGTGTAGTTTCGACACGGGCACGATGATGATTTTGATAGATTTAAGAAGCATAGGTTTTAATTATTTCGGGCGTAACTGACACTCCTTCAATCCATTACTAAGCATCATTCTAGGGGGACCTTAATTTAGTCTCTTCCTAATCTTTCATTAAATATTACCCCTAAAGCAGTTCAAGGTTTTGTTCCTTGAACAATCATCTCAATGAAAAAAAAATGCTCGAACAAACATCCGCTTCTCGCCTCAAGTTACCTGCATTTGAGCGCAAATGTGATCGCATCATTGGACCCAACTTATGTTGACATACTGAAGTGCATTAACCCTCACCTTACTTCAGTCGTTTTAAGCGAAAAGTGATTGTGTTTCATAACACTGCATTTGAGGTAGCTATATTATTGCATCATGCTTTTCTTTCAACAGTATTCTTTTTCCTTTTCCACTTATAATTTAGCTGCTATTTGCCTTTCTTAACATTGTCTTTTGCTTCATGGAATTTCGGTCCACTGATTTTATCGTTGGTCTTTTAGGTAATATTGTCGCACTGCTACATGCTTTCTTCTGTAACCTCCCACAAGAATGGCTCGAGGGAACTCATCTTATCATTAAGCACCTTAGGCCTGTGACATCTGTTGCAGTATTAAGAATATCATTTCGCATTATGGGTCCCTTGCTTCCGAGGTTGGTAAACGCTCATACCCTTTTCAGTAAGGTACAACTTCTTTCGAGTTTATGTTCATTTTACTCTTAATGTAGGATCAGTAGGGGGTTAAGGGGATTTGAATTTTGATTTACAGTATTCCAAGAAACCTAGATTATTTTCTCATCTTTTCTTAATTTCATAGGCTGAGATATTATATGCTCATGTTTGACCGTTCTCCTGCATAATAGTCCTTGTTTTGCCATGTAAAAAGAAAACATGAAAGAGCTAACTTAGTTACCAAGTATGAAGTATAAAATTCCACAATCCCTTGCCTACCCTTGTCCCCCGTCCATCCCTTCACCCGGATAATTACCTCTTAAACATCTCTGGAAGCAAACAAAAATAGATGGAAGGTGCTGGTGTTGTCTTCCCTTTCACCTCATACTCACGTGGGTTATACAAGCCTAGCTTACATTCCAACATATCAAACTGATTATGCCCATTTTAAGCACCGTGCTGCCTATATTTTATCTTAAGATGAATTAGCCACCACACCTGCTTTAGTCTCAAATATGGTACAAAGAAGTTGCTGAGTGGTGCAACAAAAATTGCTCTCAAAGGCACTTCGGTATAAGAAAGAAGTGATTTATAGTGTTAGCATTTTCAGAATTGTTAAAAATTAGGAAATTATTATTGTGGGAAGTCCCCATTCATTACATATATAGGAATGATTTAGAGTTCTTAAGTTGGGGTTTGGCTGTGTAACAAATGGTTTTTACTTTATTTGTAGTTTTTGCAGTTGGAGTTGTGTTTGGGCACACGTTTTACAAAGAATATTTAGAATTCATGTACCTTTTCTAGATGTGGTTTATACTCCCCAATTTCTACAAACTAGAAAAATCACCCAACTTGACTAATTATCCTAAAACATACCTTCAAATCTGCTCTAAAAGAGTAATATCTCAAAATAGATAGTCACATAATGTCATAGATTAGATCCATACACGAGCTACTACATGCTATTACGAATATTTTTGACTTTATTTGGGATTTTAAAGTCGAGTTGAAGATGGATTTGTGTGATTATAATGTTTGTAAATAATATTTCGTTGTTTGAATGTTCTTTTCCTAAAAAGACATGAAATTGTATTTGGAATTTTCATGGACAAACATTGATTTTGAAAAAAATGAAATAATTCTTCAGGAAAAAAAGGGTAAAATTCTAAGTCCAAATGCTTCCTAACATTTTGTCATTAGAGAAAGAATTACTTTACTTTTCAGGATTACTTTTATAAATTTATTAAACCCCAGCATGCTTCTGGGAATTATCAAGAAATTCATCATTTTCATTGCCAACATCTTTTCTTTTCTCATTGTTTAACATATAATTAAGCCCTCTAAGATCTTGATGGAGACACAAGTAGCTTCCACTACCAGCAGACATTGCCGACCAATTGCCAACAATTTTCTTGCATCTTGCAATCCGAAATGAAGACAATTTATTGAAGTTAGCTTCCTTTGAAGCGGAGTGAATCAGAAGTAAGAAATAATATGTCCTGCTCTAGGAGGAAGTTCCATTGAATCAACAACTATTTATAATAGCTTTGGGATTTCAGCATCTTAAGCAAAAGAGGAGATTTCTTTGTTTACTGGCTGCCGCAACCCTTTCTTATTCTTTTTTTGTGTCTCTTCTCCTTCCTTTCGGTATCTAGTACAGTTCCTCTCTCCAACAAGTGATGCATTTCTCACCTTTCAAGCATTGTTCATCTATCTGGCAGCTGTTGTGGCACCACTATTTCTTTGATGACTGACATTGCTATTACTGTGTTGTGGCACCACTATTTCATTGACGACCGACACTGCTATTACTATACGCGATCGGTGTCACTCCTCTCATCGTATTTCCATCAGAGTCCAATTTTTAAATTTCTACTTTGAACTTCTTATTCTCTACTCTAAAAATTTCTTTACTAGATCCAAGGGTTTGAGTCCCTACCCTGAAAGTTCTTTCTTTTTAATCTGATAAATTTCTGTCTCGCTTCTATTACTTCTTTCTCTAGTTCTTTTTCTACTTATAAAAAAGGTTCTCTTTTACCCAAAAGTTCTTGTACTTCTGTTTTGATTAAAAAATAGGACTATCTCCTTCCAAATAAAACATCTTTTTATTCTTCTTAATTTCACACGCAAGTAGAACAAAAAAAAGTCATCTTGTTCTTCATGTTCTAAAAGAAATGTCGTAGTTCAGACCAATGAAACTAGAATCCTATCTTCACTAGATGCAAGAGGGATCAAAGCCTTATTCTACTATCCTAACCAGCGTTGATTATTACGACTAGGGGTGTTTGAGGTTCTGATTAAGTCAAACATTTTCCCCAATGGAAATTAAACCAATTAAGGTACCTTTGCAAATATTGGAAACAAATCAAACATATTATGTTGGTTTTCTTGCTTTGTCGGGCTTATTGGCTTAGTTGGCTTTTATCATTTTTTTGAAAAATATGTACTACAAAAATAAATTACTTTTTAAGAACATATATATATATATATATAAGAAGAAAGGGTCTAATGTACGGAACCTTAACTTGCATATATGTCGGAGACTCTTTACAAGACTTGTACCCATGACCTCTTTGTCACATTGCAACAACTTTACCAGTTATTCCAAGGTTCCCCTTCCTTAAGCCATATTGAAATGAATATTAAAGTTAGTGTAGCTTTGAACTTGCATAAAAGTTTGTCAACATTATTATAAAGATTTAAGTTGATATAGATTTTTGATTATGGATTTCATCAAAGACAGAGTGTCATGGAAGTATAAATATGTGTCTGTATGGAGATGTTGATCAATTGTTTCATATGTTGGAAAACAGACAGTGTCGCTGCTTTTGAATATTTTGGTGGATGTGTTTGGGAAGAACTCACAGCTGTCAGCACCTATTGAAGCAACGGAAATAAGTGATCTTATCGACTTCCTGTAAGAAAAGAAACTTCTTGTTTTTTGGTAATTGATTTGATGTATTTATTTATTTATTTTTTACACTTTTCCAATTCATACCTGAATCAGGCATCATGTTATTCATTACGAGGTCGCATCTAGTAAACCCAGATCAGAAATTTTGGCTCTTTTTGGAAGAGCAGCAGAAAATTTGCGTCCAGATGTTCAACATCTTCTTTCCCACCTCAACACTGATGTAAACACTTCGGTTTATGCAAAAATCATCCACAATGCTTAAGAATCTGCTCCTACTGTTAGGTGGTTCCTTGCTTTAATCTAGTTTGACATGCCTCACTTTGTTAATTTACTTCATCTTAATTAATAAACTAAATTAACAAAACATGAAGAGAGGAGACAAGTGTAGTCTCTATATTCTTTATTCATAATTCTCTTTTTTGATAACTACAAAGGCTATTATTATGTTGTTCCTTGGCCGCAGAAATATGAGTCGATCCGATTTCACATGGATCATCTACATTCTGTTACAACAATCCTCCTTAGATGTCCATGTAGAGAAAATGTACAGAGTTATTCGAATAATTTGCATTGCTTATTGTCTCATTGCATCCTGCTTGAAGGAAACTAGTTGTAAGTTGCTTGTAGGACCTGCTAGTAGGAGTACTGAATAGACATCTATAATACAATGTACACATAATACTCCTTGGATGTTCATTAATAGATAAATGTTCCTCGTTAAACTTTACAAGGAAAACACTCAATGGGAAAAAAGTCCCAGTGAAAGATAGAGAACACAGATAGTCATACGCATCAGCTAGCTGGCTCATGAAAAACCTTACTAGGAAAACCTAGTGCCAAAAACCTTTGTTTAAGAAAAAAGGGGTACGTGTATTTTACTCCCCTTGGTGAGGACCACAATTTAGTTGTTGAAGTTTCTGCATTTTAATTTTGTATACCATTTTCTCATGCGTTGAAGTTGGTAAGTATTTGATGAATAAATTTACTGGGTTATCGCTTGAAAGAATTTATTAGACGTCAATATCACTACTCTTGAAGAATAATTTTGGTGAAATGTACTTCGTTTTGCCTCAATTTATGAAGCCACACTTTAATAGAGTCATGATTGCTACATTTGTCTTTGTATTAGACTGTGGGTACTTTAGTATCACACTTCAGGTCACTAGTCCCTTTGCTTGAGTTGTTCCATACAAGGATTATGAACAAGCTTGCGAAAAGACTTGTAAATGCTGCAGGCATTTTGAATCCTAAAAAAATTTCTTACAAATTTTGCCAGGTGACAATATCCATTAATATTTAAAGTATGTCTTCTTCTGGTGTCAGAAATGTAGGTCAAATTAATCTTTATCTAATCAAGAAGCATCATTTCAATGAAAACATCCATTATTATTAAAAGCATGACATTTTCTAGTGTCTTGACTACAGGCCAAATAAGCTTGATGTCATAGAATACAAATTTTCATAAACTTTACAATGCTGTATGCTATATTGTACTATAGATATTGTTGAGAAGATGTCATTTCATATCAGTTTATACTACAACATAGCTTATTGAGATCTTATCACTTTATTATTTTCAGTTACTTGAACACTCTTGAGGTTTCATGAAGTGTTATATCATAGGCTCTTTAGAGCACATTGCTTTTATCATTATGATGATTTGCTCCTTGATTATTGCAATTGGAACTGATTGGTCTACTCTGCATCATGCATGATGCAGACGTTCTCCTTCCGGGACATTAGATAGGAGCATTTTTGTTGAAATGTGAGATTATTTTTGGGTCAGCAAATGCTTTTGTAATTGACATGAATTATCTTTTAAATGAAGATCATATGATAATTCAACATATTTCTTAGTTGCTTGTTTACTCTCCTTGATCCTAAACCAATTGAAAGGAGAGAATCAATCATAGTTTATTGGTCTGATGTATATCAATATTGAAGCATGCAATATCATATGTTGGATCAATACGTAAATCTTTGTTCTCATAAAACATAGTTCAACTATGCATTTGTAGGCATTCAGTGCATAATCAATTCGGAAATAAATCAATACTATCAAGATATATTATCTTAATTACATAATCTGACATTTATGCTCGTAACTCAATTTATATTTGAGCGAGCAACTTGTCAATGTCAAACAACCGGTTGACAAAAAGATCATGTGACAATTGCGTAGATGTATTTATTTATAATATTACATGATGGTGAATGGGACTCAAATTCACCTCTTGGTAGAATTTATGGGATTTGACACCAACATTAGCTGGTGTAATCAATTTATCATAAGAATGAGGAATTAAAAGAATTTTTGAAGAATCTTTCAATACATTTTATTATTCAATAAATTTCTAATTTAATGTGGTATGTGATTTCATTGTGCTTCTACTTACCGTACAAATAATTAACTCTTCTGGAGTTCTTGTTTTTTAATTATCAAATATATTATTCAAATATTGGTTGTATGATAAAAAAATTTAGGTGTACCTTTGCTCGTAATAAACTTGGTATTCAAAACGTCAAGGTTTAGAAAAAGGTTCTCAAATATTAGACAAAGCCGCATTGAGTAGAGTCCTAATCCTAATGTGAAGCATGACACGTTTACGAACAAAAGCCTATAAAGCATTTAGTAAACTTCACTCCATTTTTCACATTCGATTTTACCCCTAAACGTAACCGCCGTCCTCCTCCTCTTTGAGGACTAAGACTAGCTTCTTAGCTTACATCATCACATTTATAAGTCAAATTTAGCTAAAATTTTAAAACTTTTTACTACTTCTACTAGAAGGTTTACATAGACCTGTACATACACATAATATATATATCGAGTATACATAGACTCTTCGTATGGGAAGGTTACAAAGCCTTCTACTTTTGTTGCACTTACATATATAAGATAGAACATAGTCGTAAGGATTGTCTCATCTCATACCATCTAAAAGATCATAGCAATTTGGGCATAACCCTACATCAATGTAAAGAAGCCACATATTGTCTTATACAGATCGTACTCAAATGAAAATAGAATGAACATAAGAGTCTTAGAAAGTAACTCCATAAGCGAGATATTGACATCGCTCTCAGAAAGTGAGGACCTACACACTTGGATGGTACAAAATATCCAAGTCTTCTTCGAGTAGTCTCGAATGAGCCTTCAACGATCGGAACCTAAAATGTTGGGAAAAAAGGAAGAAGTAGGGTTAGTACGCCACATGTACTAAGTATGAAACCATATGCACATATATTTATAAAACATGCTAAGAAAAGGATATTTTCATAAGTACGCATTTTTCCTTTTAAAACCTCCATGCATATTCAACAATACCATACCCATCAATATTTCACATTTATTAAGTCATAGGCATGCTCATCATATTACCACAACATCCCATCTAGTCCAATTAAACATTCCTATTATACAAGTAGATACATATTCAAGTAACTCTACAACCAAGTTATATTAACAATAAGCATGAGTAAGAGTACATTTCATTGTAACAAAGCAAGAGAACTACCCATGAACCCCCTTTCAAGTCAACAAGCGCACTTACCAAGCAAAGCCCCATAACCTTAATCAAGTAACCCAACAAGAATCATGACTAACACCCTACTTCACATAACATGAAATTTAGATATACATTTCATCTTACATTAACAGTGTAGACCAATACACATCCATAAGTGAACTATCCAACATATAGTATGAACAATATGCAAGTTCATCATATGCATATCATATATCATTATAAGCATAAACATACATGCTAACATCCTCCTAAGACTCCCCTTAAGGCTAACTAGTGCAATGCTTAGATAGAGTCCCATACCCCTACCTACACTAAGCTAGATCCTTAGGTTATCCTAGTTAGAGTTCAATCCTTTGATTCATTTTACCTTTTGGGAACATCTTGCCTTAACCGACATAGACCATATGAGCTAATGTCGAATCCGGTGTCATAAAACCCAACACTGAAGGAAGGTCAATTACTTGCCAAGGTAGTACCAAGACATAAAACCTAGCAACTACGTGGATCCACTAGCTAGTATTCCTTTGTGGGTAACATAGTTCAAGAACTAGGAGATATAGTTGGGACCCTCTTCATGCCACATGCATTGTAGTCTCCAATCTCAAGAGTATTTTAGTGCTCCTACCTTCCCTATGTGGAAATGGACACTCCTTAATCTAGTTCACTCAGTGCTAAGCTAGAGTCCTTTTTTGAAATGTCTTTAAGCCTTTAATTATCAATCATAGTTTAGTTTAGGTCATAGGATCTAAACCTTGTATAATCATCATCATCAATAGATCAATAAGAATTGCATGAGTTTAATTCTTTTCAATATAATTCATATAAGTGAGGTTAGCACATTTGCATTTCATATCATATTAAGGCACATTGGTGATAATCACCATTCTTATAACATATACACCTTAATCAACCTCACAACATAATCAAGACATTTCAATTCAACATCATACCGGCCTATAAATCCTAATACAAGGCTTTCTCCAATATAACATCATTGCTCAATCGCAATTAACCACTATTGGAATTAAAGGATAGAGATTATAAGACTTACCAAATCTCCTTTAGGCCATCATCAATATCTTACCATAAACCTTCAATTCAATCCCATTTATATGTACAACATCATAATTCAATAATAACATTATAATGAGGATATAGGAACTACTATAACACAAAACTACATCATAACTTAAGACAAAACACTTAGGTTAATTCACTTTCTAACCTAGATTATCATCTCAAGAACTAGCATGAAAGACTACAATTCACTCTAATTTGTTCATGATTAATGTATCAACATCAATTTATATCAATTCAACCAATAACCAAGTCAATTGAGCCAATCTCAACTTAATTCATATAAATATCCTACCTAGGGTTAAGGGTTAAGGATAATCAAGATACTCCATAATTAAGTTAGAATACATGTTAAATTATTTATATTATCCAATATAAAACACAAATAATTCAATTCATAACCTTATTTTCGAGATTGAGAAGAACCCACATGAATCCCAACTTTTGAAAATATTTTGAAGGAACCCTTTGAGGAAAACTGTCTCAAAGGTGAATTAGTGTAACACCTTGAAAATCCACGATTCCTTTTAAAGCCTAACATAGGTGTCATAAAGTCTAAAAACATGTTTCTAAGTCCATTTTTAATGAATATAGGTCACTTAGGAGTCTTAAGAACAAAAACGTCCTAAACATCCCGGAAGTTGGTTCAGAGGGATGTTAGTGTGCCTTAGCCTTTTTTACTAACTTTTAGGAGTCGTAAGTGCACAAAAATTGGAGTAAAGGTAGGTAATAGGTGTTTGAGATGTTCCAATGTTGAAATGTCCTAGTACGACTCCCCAAGGACCAACCAAGGGCCCTTGAATACGACTCCTATATTTTGATGCAGCACTGCCTGGCAGTGCGCATCGACAGGACAAAATATGGCCCGTGTGTGGATCAGAGGGGCGTCGATTCCACCTTTGTACAACACTTAGGCTAGTGTATAAGGTCCCTTTACCTGCACAGTCTCTGGATTCA